AACCATGTTTGACACACACTACGTACGGGAAAAAGGGTCACTGTCATTCTCAAGCAAACACGTGGTGAAAGAAATAGTAGACACGGCCATCAGTGTGACTGAGAGATGCACTGCCAGAGCCTGGGATACTTTCATTTGCCGATTCTCATGCGAATGCCCTTTAGAACAATAAAGTGTGATGTTAGTACTAAACACTTTCAAGAGATGGCGATAAGTACAGTTATTGTTATTAAATACAGTTAAAGAAAGCTGCTTGTTTAATGAAAGCGTTGTGAACTGTGATGAAAGTGATGGGCATAAAGTGTTGAACTGCGGAAAGTTACTGTCTGTCTAAAACATTTTCGAGGTAACGTCATACCTTCAGCAGATTAGAAGTTCTCACAGCAGTAACTACGAACAGTGATATCTTCCGAGACGTAAGGTCCTGTAGTCCTGTAAAAATTCGCCAACATTTCGAAAGAATTACTGTTCCAGTGATTGAGGTTAGCTCTTTCTAACGGGCGCAACTGAGCAGTTGCCTTCCCCCCTCACCTGAAGACGGAAACAAATCCATAGACCGAAACGTTGTGTTTTATATTTTCTAGAACACCGGACGATGGAAGAAGTAGAAAACCCAGTAATTCTTTGTGTTATACACCGTCGTCAGAACCCTCTAGAATCTGTTTGCCTCCATCTTCATTGTCTCCAGACCGGTTTTGTGTTTCACCCAGCCTCCTGTCGAATTAATAACGTTTTAGAGCGGCTGGGGCATGACGGTGAGCACTCACCTCCATCTAATGCCGAGAGGTCAAGAAGACGTAGATCTGTTCCTCCATGCTCTCGTATGTTAATGACATGGTACTTAACTTTGTTGCAGCAAATATTATTATGGCAATAGAATGAAGAAGGAAGGGGAGGGAGGGGCACACAGCACTCATAGAAGAGTGCCCCAAAAAATTAGTCGGAATATCTGAGGCGAAAAGACAATTTTTGAAAACCAAGCGTAGGCAGGAGGATAATGTTAAAACGAATCTTAGAGAAATGGGGCTTGACGAATTGAATGGATTTATTTTGTCCACGATAGGGTGAATTTGCAGGCTTTTGTGACTACGGTCGTGAATCTTCGCGTCACTTTGTTGAGTAGCTAAGAGCTAGAATCCTGAAGTGGATGTGTTCCTGGTGTTAGTGACTAAGCAAGAAGACTGTAACACACTTGGGGGACGTAAGAAATGTGTGCAGAATTCGGGCTGATAATGGTCGCGGGAAGAACCCAGTCTGACGATTAACGCGTGGCGTGGGTGGATAATATCGAACTTAACCTTAAATGAGTTGTGAAGACGTGAGTTAGGTTGCACTGGTGACTTGACGGCTCAGCCTGAAATTGTCAACTGAATATTCTGTACCGTGGAGTTGGAACTTGGGGTCTGCATTCAGCTGATCAGGTTAGCTCAAGCTGATAACTTTTCTGGCTTGTATTGCGGGGGTACCTGATTCGAATCTTGGCTGGGAAACCGTTACGCAGTAACTAATATGAAATGTATGTAATGTAAATTTTGCAATCCGCGGTGTTTCCAAGTTTTATCATGGATTCCTCGGCCTTTGAAGGCAAATTCCCAGATTGTACGTCTATTGGGTCACAACCTCTTCCTACCGAATCCTTCCAAATTCATCATTCGTCAGTGAACATACCACGCAACGCTATATAGTCCAGATTAGCGATTTTCGATCGATGTGCTGCGGAGTAGGAGGGAAGGTCGAAAAGAAGCGAGAAAAAAATTGAGGAATAAAAAATGGTCGAAATTCATTAGCAACATTATTTTTAAAAATAACGCAGTGATTAGAATTTTAGCTATTAAACTTTTAAACCCGATCTTATTACTCGTCTTTTAAATGATAAATTCTCTCCTTTAAAGTTGATGGCTTGCCTTGGCAATTTTAGCGCCTTGTTTTCGGTGTGCCTTCATTCAACTGTGTCCCGAAGCAGTTGTATTCATGTCAGAACCTCGCGCCTTACATCACAGGATCCAAACGAACTTCGAGATCAGTGGGCAGCAACAATTTTTCTTATTGAAGGAGTCCCGAGTTCGCACCTTCCTTCCCCGGAATCCGGTTGTGCTAACAGATATATCGAGATTTTTGTCGCCTCATCCAGACAGATACCGGGATATCATCTATAATTAGACCAGAGCCACTTTCTTCTACCTGTACCTCCTTTCCACTGCCCTTTTATCATCCTGACACTTTGGCTTGATCTGCAGGGCTTTTTGAAGCGCCGACAAGCATACCAGCAAGCGATCGATGCGCACCAAAAAATTCGTTAAAATCTTGGAGCCTACACATCCGGGGGTGTACGTATGTTGCGATCTTGAGACTGATACCGAGCGTGGGAGTACCGGCAAACGTGTTCTTAGTAAGATAAACAGTGCCTGAATTCTGATACCGGTAATTGTGTCTGCTCTAACTGTCAGCTAGAGCCTAAGCAGACAGCCACTGGGATTCCTTAGATGGGGAATCATTTAATTGTAATGCCAGTGGCAAGAATGTATTAATATACCCTTTTATTTCAAGGCTACAGAGCCGCAGCTGTGATGCGGTCTGCGTCATTCAGGGGTATGACGTCATGCAAATCCATTTCTTTGCGCCCGCAAATGAAACAAACTTATCAGATAAGCGAGCTCCTTCCATTGTTTCACGCACACGACGAACAGATTTACAACCCTCCGGTGTTTTCCTTTAACTCTTTCTACTGCTTTAAATTCGGATACAGATGGCGTTGATAGCAATTTTTTTGCTAGCTTCGGGAATCACCGTCATGGTTAGCATATTGTTGCGCTCAAGAAACATGTCCCATTGGTTGAGCAGTGTGGAGAGTTACGTTCAGTGACAGAAGGAAGGACGACCTCGCGAAGTAATTTAGTTTTCCCAGAGATTTCCCCGCCGAAATTCTGTACCTATATATTGCACATCCCCATCACATGGCAGAAATAAATTGTTCTGTGTATCTGAGCAGCTCAGCGTGCACTCAATGACGAGAAATATAGGTGAGATCCATGCACTCTATGGACGTGGCTGGCCTCACTCTTCAGTCACTTAACCTCTAGGGTGAAATCTTCCAGTAGCGAGCAGGCTACGGACTGAACGACCGATAAGTTGTGCTTCGAGTCCCCGCAGGTGTGAGATGTCTCACAGTATGTCACAGTTGGGTCTCGGTGCCAAGACGACACGGGCCGAATGAAGAAATCGGCCGTAATGTAGACGGGAGCCACACAGTGACTGCAGGCGGCGGTGTCCGTCGGGACAGGAGGTCGAATGTGACAGTCGCTGTGTTATTCATGCATTTCTCTTGAGGTGGCACAGTCTCAATAAAATACTGTCATAGAATTTGCTGGAAAGACTGGGAAAACCACTAACAATCTAAGACAAAATACACGGTTATTTTGGTTTTGTTGACGTGGCGTGTGATAGGTCGGCCGCTATTTTGTCTACTGTACCAGCTCCGGATGGCAGTTAATGATGATGATGACTGTGGAACAGTCGGTGGAATGAGAATTAGAAGGGGAAAACAAAGTGCTCGGAGAAAACCTGCCCCAGTGCCACTTTGTTCACAAATCCCACATGACCTGACCTGAGTTCGAACCCGGGCCACCGCTGTGGTAAGCCGCCGACTAAACGCCTGAGCTATGGAAGGCCAAGATACGAGGTCAGCCAGCTAAGGATCAAAAAGCGCACTTCCCGAATACAATTTGGAAGACTTGCCGCCTGATACAAAGCTCCCGCTTAGAATGGACTGACCTTCGGGCGATCGAAATGCGGCAGTTGAAGAATTCCTCGGCGGTAAACCAGAAGCGCCTCAATTTCAGATACAAAATGAACAAACTGTATGTGATATATGGTTTACCCTTCGGACCCAGTATTTCTATTTGACTGATGTGAAGAGCACATATTTCTATACACTGAAGGGTTTTACTACCTGGCAGTGCTGGAAGACTGCAGCAAAACTGACTTTTTCGTTTGTAGCAGGAGTAAGAAGCAAACTGAAAGATAACAAAGCGAACGTTTGTGTATTGTTTAATAGAAAATCAGAACAATCAAAGTCTGACACGGAATTTGGTTTCATTGATACAGAAATTGTTATTTGCAACACGAAAAATGTAATTAATTTTGTCGTTAAATCAATGTATTGCATAGCCGGTAAGTTACTACGCGGAGTTTCAGAGGACAGTATTTTTAACTCAGGGATTCTCAAACTTTATGATACTGTGACTATCGAAAATAAGAAATTAATTTAGGCGACGCCCCCCCCCCCCAATGGAGTGCCGTGACAGAAAGGGCCGAAGTAGCTTTACGATACTTCTTGCACACAAACAGGAAGCTACAAGACGCTAATGGGTAGCCATGAAAATATTCGCGATAAACACACCAGCTGAAACAACATTACCGAAAGGAGCATATGTTGAACCTTAGAGGTCATTGGATATTTAATTGACCTAATAATTCCAGCTGCGTTATGGCCCTGGGGTAGACTCGCCCTCTAATGGAAACGAGTACCAGGAGTCTTCCTGGGGGATAAAGGGCGGCCTGCGCGTAAAGGCCCGTCCATATTACTCGTGCTCGTCGGAAAATCAGGATCTGGAGCTGACGAAGTGGACGCCCAAACTGGTTTGCATACAAAGCCTTCGCGTTTCTTCACAACAGATATCAGCTCCAGATCCTGATTTTCCGGCAGCAGTAAGCTTCTGGCGCACGAACACGAGTAATGTGGACGGGCCTTAAGGCTGACAACCTCATCGCCACTTGTGAGCCGATTGTTTAGAAAATGTGGGAACCTCGACGTCTGACAACCCTATGGACCTCTACGGCCTGTTACAGGGATATTTTTACTTTTTTTAATTAGTGATTGACTTGCCAGAATAGTGCGTTATATCCAGTTAGGTGACATAAGTAGAGGTAAATTCATTTTGTTTCTTACTGTCGTGGTTAGTTTTACCTGTTATTAAAAGCCTGCCCCGTTTTTTTCGCAGATGGACAACTTAGGGTTTCAGCAAGAAGTTGAAGGAACGGCCTTCCCAGTCTGCGACAGCAGCAACAGTGAGTGCATACCCCACTGGCCTGGCAGTCTGCGCCTTCTTCCCAACAGCAACGGTTGCGATGACAACGCAAGGGAAACCAGCTCACAACCAAAGATATGTGCACCAAACACAAGCTCACCAAAATTATCCTCGTCTTCATTTAGCTTACCAAAGAACAAAACTTTAAACAAATACAGGCGCTTTTCAGAATCCTTTTCATGTACTAGTCGAGTTCCTTACTGTTTAGGGAAGATGTTAAACATTCCGTCCAGAGAAAGTGTCAAACATCATAACATAAAATGCTCGTCCTTTATTATAAGTGATAACAATAATGTAAGTAGAACTGCACCTGGCTCCACCGCCACGTGTCAGCATCATTCCTGTGAGGATGGTGTCTATATAGAGATCCATTGCAGTAGTTCGAATCCTGTCCGGTCTGAAAAATATCAGCCAGATAATAAAAGGTTATGCTCATCACAAAACTTCCAAGGACACACATCTGTGTCATCCTTACTGAACAACGCACAGGAAATTTCAAGCTACTCGTCAGTGCCTTCCTTATCCTTAAATAATAGTTACCACGAAGAGTACCTGTGTTCGATGCCGCCCTTCTCAAAAACTTCTATTTCTCCATATTTCTCGAATAAACAGAATCTGATTAGTGATACATCATTAGACATCCACAATGCAGTGACCCAGCCACCGAAATCTACAAACAAATGCAGCAACATTGGTCCTTCCCGGCCCTTCCTTAACAATGCTCAATGTTCCGGAAACCCCTCGCCATATTTGATGAAAAAAAAGCAAGAATTTTCAAAAGATGATGCAGAATTGAATTCAATGCCCCGTATAATGAAATCACAAAAAAACGTGAACCGGGTTTTGAATCGTTCCACAACATTACCAGCGGTATCAATTAAAAACATGAGAAATCAGAACCGGGAGTTTACCTCAGGTATACCAACTGTGTCGGGGACATTGCCGATGTATTACTCTAGATTTCTGGATCGCCAGCAATCCTCGCCGAACCCGTGTGCGGAGAACAGGCAGAACATGATGCAGTCGTCCAAAGTCCTCCCGGCAGGTGGCCGGGAGGCGACGCTGAAGAAGAGGGCAATCCTGAGGGGCTGGAAATTGCAGTTCATTCCAAGTGACCACTCGAAGCGCAGGACTGTTGTGCTGTGCTGTATCCTGCTTCTGGCCTGCATCCTTGCCCTCGTCGTCACAGGACTGGTCTTCTACATGACGACAGGTTAGTACGTCGTCTTCATGTTCCTCTGTGCTGTTGCCCAGCACGTGGTTTCTACAAACTCTCCGTTCCGAAGCTCTGAATCAGGCCGCAGAAACACATGACAGTTCAAGTTCAAAATAAACAAATAAAATCGAGAAAGTTATCCCAGAAGGTGCCCAGTTCGAATATCGGACCGGAAACCAAGCATCTGACTGAGGCTTTTTAATGGTTTTCATCACTTTATCCTGGCAGATGCTGGGAGAGTACATGAAACTAGGTCACGATCAGTTCCTATCATATCTCTTCCCCTTCATGACTTATCATGATCTAAAGCGGCCTCCGTAGTCTAGGGGTAACGTTCCCACCTCATGATTCAAGGTACGCGGGTTCAAACCCGGCGGAGGTCGTGGAATGTTTAAGGGCGGAAAAATTCAGGGAATAAGTGTTGGATGCGTGTGTCTGCGGGTCTCTGTATGTATCCCCCTATGGTTGCTTACTAGTCAAAGACGTTCCAACGGCAACGAAGCGCTGTTGGAAACGTTTTCTATGCCGTCCATGTCATATCAAAGGAAAGTAGGCGACTAGTTCTTCCCGAGAGCTTTTGTAATTCCTATGTGAATGTAGTTTTTTATTTCGGAAGCTTCTCATATGTTCGAAGATTTACCATGTGGGTGGGGTTCAGCGCTTCTTTCAGTGTCATACCGTACTGACGGTAACTTTTCTTTGCAGCTATGAAATCGGTGACCATGAAGTTTCAAGAAAGTTGTGGTCCTGCAGAAACCGGTGAGTGAAACATTCATCTTTTCTTATTCCTCGGCCCAGAAAAAAATGTATTTCGTTTATGAACATTTTGAATGCTTCTAGAAGACTGAATGACTTATCATAGCTTAGCGCCTCACGAAGACATATTTTAATAATATACTATGCGCTTTCTCTACAGAATGAATGGAGGCAGTGTTTGTGATGGCTGCAATTTAAATGAAACGTACCTTTGTCTGAAGCGCTCGTCTTGCAGATCGAGTATGGCGGCCGAGCAGATAGGCGTCAGCTTCACATTTCGGCCCAGAAGTCTGCATCCTTGAGCCCTTCCAAGCATGTGGGGGGGGGGGGGAGCAGTCGGTAGACCGTGCCTAAAATTGGGTCATCGCCGTCGCGTGTCGCATTCTGATCCATCCGTTATGCATTATCCATGCTTCTCATTCGACGTCATATAATCCGAGCAGTTGAAAGCGTCGTTAAACAAAATAGTAGTTGGTTGAGGCACTATGCTACAAGCCGGAAGGTTGCGGGATCGAATCCCGATGAGGTGGAATTTTTCAGTTACCTAATCCTTCCAGCCGCACTATGGACCTGGGGGTCGACCCAGCCTCTAACAGAAATGAATACCAGGAATATTCCTGGGGGTAAAGGGCAGCCGGCGCTTAAGGCTGACAACATTAGCGCCATCTGTGAGCCAATTGTCTAGAAAATGTGGCAGCCTCGACGTCTCACAACCCTCTAGTCCTCCACGGCCTGTTAAAGGGATAACAATACTTTGCACTTTACGTTAAACAAAATACACGTATGTTGGTTTGCCTACTTAAAGCAACTAATTGTACCAACTGTGGAGACCCGATTTGAATCCCCCCCCCCNACGTGTTCACAGATAAAACATGCAACTCAACTTTCCTGGCCGACTGTTACGTGTTGGCCAGGAAGGTTGCGAGTTGCATGTTTTATCTGTGAACATATTTCTTTTTCGCATCTGGACTCGAAGTTCTAACACAGAGCCAACAGATTTTATATAATTGGCGGCCAGTGCTTTTTCGAGACGGACAGAGCTGAAAGCTAGCAAGAAGGATCATGATATCGCTGCCGAACTGTAATGCGTTGGAATCTCGACCTACAGACTTCTGTCGTAACTGATTTACGCAGCTCCTAGCAGGAACGCCTTCATCCAAACATTCCGCCATTCGTTGCAGGGTATCTCGCGTGTTATCATGATTTCATATGACGTTTTCTCCAGTCAAGAATCAAATTTATCAAAACTTTGACTGAAGCAAAGGAAGGAGGAGGATTCGTGATGAGATAAAACGAGTGGCATTGAAGGTAAAAAATAAAGTAAAAGGCAAAGCTATCCCTGTAACAGGCTGTGGAGGTCCATAGAGATGTTGAGGCTCTCACATTCTGTGGAATATCGGTGAAGTTGTCAGCCTTACACTCCAGCCGCCCTTTACCCCAGGAGGAGATTCTTGGTACTCATTTCTGTTAGAGGCTGAGTCGACCCCAGGGCTGGACCCATGACCTCATCGGGAATCGAACCCGAAACTTTCCATCTTGTAGCATAGTGCCTCAACCAACTACTCTTCCGCGTGGCCTCCAAAAGAATTTGGTATTTTCTGTAAAAGTTAAAAGAAGTGAAACTAAATAAGTAACAAATCACGGGTTACATGACTTCTGTAGGAGTCGAAAATGTCATGTAAGTTACGGCACGCCAGTTCACAACCATTTTACCAAACGACAAACCTCAAAATTCTTTCGTATATAAAAGAGAATTAGTTGAAGTTAATAACCTGTAGGATCTCTGCCTACGAGTTCTATACCGAATAGTCATTGCTACCATAATATTTTTCCTTTTTATATCTTTCCTCACGTCTTATTGGAATGAGAAATTGTGCCTGGGTGCAGCTTGAAATCGGCTAGTGTTCATTACCGCCGCGCATAAAAAAATAACATGTTTTTGAGTGCATTTGGTAAAAAGTGAGGGAGTGTGTTCTCAAACTGAGACGCGAAAAGTCCTGACAGGTACTCACAGCCTCCTATTTTATTTCTCTTAATGAAATTAGACACAGTATATTACCGTTCCAGAATAATATCCGTACTTAACATATGTAAGCGAGGCGCGCGGTAGCATAGTTGGTTGAGGCATTCTGCTGCAAGCCGGAACTTCGTAGGTTCGATTCCCAATGAGGACACTGGATTTTTCAGTTCGCCTAATCCTTTCAGCCGCACTATGGCCGTGGGGTCTGCTCAGCCTCTAACAGAAATGAGCACTATGAATCTTCGAGGGGGTAAAGGGCGGCAGGCGCGTAAGCGTGACAACCTCACCGCCATCTGTGAGCCGATCGTTTATAAAATGTAGGAGACTCGACGTCTCACAAACCTATGGGCCTCCATGGCCTGTTACGGGGATAGCTTTACTGTTCCTTTCACTTGCCTTAACGTATTATACCTTCAGAAACAAACACATTTGAAAAGTGACCCTGTACACTGCACTGACGCGTGTCACTTTGCACCGGTCTGGAAATTCGCCTCTGTCTGGTCTCCATCAGAGTGTACTGACTTAGAGGAGGCTGGAGGTAAACAGATGTGTTAAATGTTGAGGATATTTATTCACTTTTAAAATTTACTGAGATATGGAGAGTACTGTCTTCTAGGATATAACGCCGTATAGTCCGTTGAAAGTCAACCGAAGTTTCGCAGGAACATATCCTCTTTGTCTACAGGGTCGAAGAAGCCAAGCAAGATACGAGCGTGAAAGCAGGTGGCAAGCCGAGTAATTGGTTTCGGTAAGTTGCGGTATACTTTATGACCCAGAGAACCATTGGGTCTGCTGTAAATCTCTATGTGAAGGAAGGGAAGCTGGCCGTCTTCTTCTGTATCCACGGTGAACTGAATGTTCTGATGGTCACTGTTCAAGCGGGCAAGGAAGTCCTTTACCCTGTCGGGGCCTTGTGGCCAGACGACGAATTTGTCCACGTAACGGAGCCAGCAGAGGGGCTTATGGGCAAGTCGGTCGAGCGCTATCTTCTCGACATTGTCCATGAAGAACATGGCGACGACCGGAGATAATGGTGAAACCATAGCCACGCCGTCAATTTGTTCGTAGAACTGGCCAGCGAGACTGAAGCATGAAGGCGTCAGAACTTGGAGGGAGGTCCTTAGGATATCTTCGTCAAAATGTCGACTTAGCAGACTCATGGTTTCCCTAATCGGCACCCTGGTGAAGAGCGGATGCACATCTCAGCTGACCAGTACATTATATCCTGTGGTCCGGCGCGGGGAGAACCCAGTGTACGGACGAAGTCTATCGAGTCATTTACGTGGTTTAGAGTGTTGCCAGTATGAGAGCCCAGTAGGTCCGCCAGGTGTTTGGTCATGTGATAAGTGCTCACAGTAGACCTCAAGGGAGACCATTGCTTATGTATCTTCGGGAGCCCATACAGCCTCGGGGGCCTGTACCTCTGCGGCCTAAACTGATGGCAAACTTCCTCATAAATGAAGGATTTCTTCATGAGAAGCACTGTCTTGCGCTCCACAGACTCAGTGGTTCCTTTTCTAATTTCCTGTAGGCATGGTCTTCCAGACGGGCAGTGATCTTCCGATTGTAGTCTGCAGTATCCGGTACCACGGTCGCATTGCCCTTGTCAGAGGTGAAGAACAGTAAGCGCCTGATTGGCTTTCAAGGCTCGAATGGCCCTTCACTTCGCAACAGTTAGTTTGTCCTTGGTTTTGCGGGAACTTTTAGGACCTGGGGTCTGCTCTCGGAATTTCTTCAGCTGTCTCCTGAGGCAGGGCACGTATCGCTTTCCCCACCAGACGCAGGATGTCATCAACACCCACAACCGTCAGTGTCACAGCATATTCAGAAGTTTGCTCAAGGCTGAGCAAGCCGCATCCCCGTACGGCACTTCGCTGCTATTGTCATGGGAAGAGGCGGATGTTGGATTTTCTGCAGGCGCTGGAACTTCTTGTAATGCTTGGCTTTTCCGTCCTCAGCGACCGGTCGAACCTTCTCGGTCGTGATACGATCGATCAGGCCCCACTAATCGGCGGAGAGTTCCATGGCCAGCAGAATTTGGGAGATCGCCTTCAGCTCCCGTCTGGTGTGGTGGCTGCGCTCACGGAACAGACAGAGGCTAGTACGTCTGGAGATCCTCCTGGCACCTTCAGATCTTACATGGTCCTGGAACTGTAGGAAGCTTTGTTCCCTGCACCTGAGAAGGAAGGGAAGGATACAGAGGAGTCTGCTCGTCTTGATCCGCATATTCTGTTCGTTGAATGTGCCAATGAATGTCCTGCCCGTAGAGGATTTGGGGTTGTCACAGCGGTTGTTATGAAGAGTGAACGGGCTACACAGTTGTGAGAACACTGTAAATTGAAAATTTATAAAACGACGAGTAGAGTTTATAATTTTATTCTATTTGATCGCTATTGGCAGAAACATAATCGTGGCTTCTGAGGAGTCCATATGCCGTGTCTACACAGACAGAAACCGAAACGAAGAAAGCCTTCTCTACTTTCCCAGTACATATTCAAACGCGAAATAAAACTTCCTGCATTTTGTATTTGTTGTTCTTAAAAATAAATTTCACACAAAATTTACCTTTTGACATTGAACACGCAAGCCATGAAGTTTTTATTTCTCTTGTTCTTTTTTTCTTGTTAGGTGTGATGAATTCCTTCCCCATTTCTTTATTCCATTTATACTCTTTTAAACTGCCTTTCAGAGAAATGAAAGAACACACCAGTAGCTCTAGTAGCACGTCTTTATAACACATGACCGTTAATCGCCTTTTCGCAGTCAGCTTCTTTCTTTATAAACCTCTAAACACTGTAACATTTCCCTAATTTGCCCGTGTTTTGTGTTAGGTTCCAACAGTTATCCTCGCTTTGCATCTTGTTTACCACGAATAGAAACAATAGTATTGAAAGTGATAGGCCTCTTTATAAACGGACCATTGTTCATGAAATGGAAAGCAGTCACAGCACTGGTGAAACTGAGCTCCGCTTATCTCCACTCT